GCCAGATAAGGGGGGGGGGGGGGGGAGGTGCGGATGTTCGCCCTGGAGCAAAATAAAGGACGGTAGCCCGATCACACGATCCCCCCAGTCTCTGTGCTTCGGTTGTTAGCTGGCGATCACATGGCGATGCTGCAGCGTGGCAAAGAAGTGGCGCGATCACACAAGCGTTTCACGTTTGTGCGCATGCGCAGTCCCACTGCTTTCAGTTTTGTGTTTGTGCGCATGCGCTTACGAAAAACATCCTGTTTGCGACAGGACGTGGACGGGCGCCGGATGCCACGGGATACTAGTGCTCCTGCGATCAGACGCCCGCCTGTGCTGCGCGTTTTCCGAATATTAGTGCACTTTCCTTGGTACTTTTTAACTCCGCATCTTCGGCGGGACACCACGGGTTGGCCACGGGTGCGCTACGCTTCCCAGATGTTGCGGTGTGATTGCGCACCGGAAATCCGCCCGATGTTCGTGCCTTTCACGCGGCAAATTCTCCGTGTGACCGGGGCCCTGGTCTCCCATCCATGTACTAATCAAGGCTTGACAATGCTTAGCTTCCAAGCTCTGACAAGACCGGGCTAGTCAAGGTAATTCAGGCTCCTGTTAACTGCCTAAACGACACGCACACAAACTGGTCTTTCTTCCGCCATGACGTCGCCAGGTCCACCCCAGCCACTGACCAGAGCTGCTCAGCTTCAGCAAGGTGGACATACTGAAATGGGGCCGTGGCTCAGTGGCAGAGCCTCTGTTTGGCCTGCAGAATGTCCCCAGCTCAATCCCCGGCGTCTCCAGTAAAAGGATTTGGCAGCAGGTGACATAAAAGACCTCCGCCTGAGACCCTGGAGAGCCACCGCAGGTCTGAGTAGACGATACGGACCTCGACGGACCGAGGGTCTGTTTCTGTATAAAGGTTAGTCAAGAATAGACGAGGGCCAACTCTTAAAATCTAATTACGAAACCTAAAAAATATACATGTATTTATTAAACACAAATTAAAAAAACGAATAAGGGCCCATTCGTACCTCATATACGAATATAAAAACATACAAAGGCTGATGAAATAGAGGATCAGATAGCCTCATTAATACAGCAACCTTCATTTTTTAACACAAGGGCTTCTTCAAATGATAGCAGTGGTTGGGTTAGGTCTATAAGGACAAAAAAGAGAAAAGGGGAAAAAGACTGAACCTAAAACCTGGAATTCAGAACCTAAAAAGGTTAGTCAAGAATAGAAGAGGGCCAACTCTAAAACTCTAATTATGAAACATACACAAATATACATGTATTTATTCAACACAAATTAAAATAACAAATAAAGGCTCCGGTCACACGGGCAGGAAAATGCAGGGGGGGGGAGCGTGGCTGTGTGCCCCGGGGCAAACAAACGCGCGGTTAAGCGATCAGACCTCCCGTGGAGGTCCTGTGGAGGTACCGTTGAGGTTCCGTGGGTAGGGAGAGGTGCCGATCACAGGACTAGCCTGTGCGCAATGAAGAAGCGGGCGGTGCAGCAAACTGGTGTTTTTGTTTTGTGTACCCGACGGATGCGCATGCTCCGTTGGGTGCGTGTGCGCATCCACGGAGACTTGGGGGGAAAAAAACCTTTGTCGCAAGGGGACATGGGCGGGCGCCGGATGCCTCTGGAAACGCGATCAGACGCCCGCCCTTGCCCCGCAGTTTCCGGAAACTAGTACCTCCGAGGTACTAGTTTTTTGCAGCGCATTTTCGCCGGGAAGCCTCGGTTGTGCAACGGGAGCTCTACGCTTCCCAGATGTGCCGGTGAGATCGCGCCCGGAAAATCCGCCTGTCTTCCGTCTCTCTTGCGTGGCTTATGTTCCGTGTGACCGCAGTCAAAGACCCATTCATACCTCATATACAAATATAAAAACATACAAAGGCTAATGAAATAGACCTAACGCGTTTCGGCCTTCACAGGCCTTCCTCTGAGGTCTAATACAAATAGAACATGTTGGCTGATATGTAAAAATATATACAATCAAACATATACAAAATATGAAGTAAAGACCAGAAACCAATTGTTCCAAAGTTTAACCACTGGGCAAAGAAAAGAAATACAAAAATACAAATGAAGCCTCCAGTGCAATCACATGTCCAGTAGTACTTCTCTCTGGTCAACTATGTATTCTCCTGAGATTGTACAGCCAAATGTTCCCAATAAAACGTTCCTTAAGTTAAAAGCAGTGTTGATCAAAAAGGTGTTGGGCCTATATAAATACATGTATATTTTTGTATGTTTCATAATTAGAGTTTTAGAGTTGGCCCTCTTCTATTCTTGACTAACCTTTTTAGGTTCTGAATTCTGGGTTAGGTCTATTTCATCAGCCTTTGTATGTTTTTATATTTGTATATGAGGTATGAATGGGCCCTTATTCGTTATTTTAATTTGTGTTTAATAAATACATGTATATTTTTTAGGTTTCATAATTAGATTTTAAGAGTTGGCCCTCTTCTATTCTTGACTAACCTTTATAGGTTCTGAATTCTAGGTTTTAGGTTCAGTCTTTCCCCCCCTTTTTTGTCCTTACTGTTTCTGTATAAGACAGTTTCAAATCCATAACCTGAGATCACAATGAACTGAACACAATTGAACACATAAAGCTGCCTTATACTGAATCAGACCCGCGGTCCATCGAGGTCAGGATCATTTACTCAGCCTGGCAAGCAGCTCTCCTGGGTCTCAGGCGGAGATCTTTCACATCATCTACCCCCCCCCCCCCTATTTTTTTTTTTCTTTCGATGTGGGGGGGGCATGCAAAGCAGAGGCTCTACCACTGAGCTGCAGCCCCTCCCAAATAATAAAAGAAGAAGAGGAGATTGGATTTATACCCCACCCTTCACTCGGAGCCTCAGAGCGGCGTGCAATCTCCTCTCCCTTCCCCATCCCGCTACAGACACCCCTGTGAGGTAGGTGGGGCTGAGAGAGCTCTTTCGAGGACCGCTCTTGAGAGAACAGCTCCGAGACAACTTGTGATCGACCTAAAGTCGCCCAGCTGGCTGCATGTGGAGGAGTGGGGGAATCGAGCCCGGTTCTCCCGCTCCCAACCACTACACCACCCTGGCTCTTAACCACTACACCAAAAGAAGTGCCAGCAAGGAAAACAAAGATTTACTGGCAGGTCTAACGGCACCTCTCCTCCTCCATCCCTGGTCTGGATCTGGACACTTATTCCCTGAAGCAGTCAAGAAGAAGCAGAGATTGGATTTATATCCCGCCCTTCACTTGGAGTCTCAGAGCGGCTTACAAACTCCTTTCCCTTCCCCTCCCCACAACAGACACCCTGTGAGGTGGGTGGGGCTGAGAGAGCTCTTGACAGAAACTGCTCTTTTTCAAGGACAGCTGTGCCAGAGCTTGTGACTGACCCAAGGTCACATCAGCAGGTGGAAGTGGAGGACTGAGGAATCAAACCCGGTTCTCCCAGATTAGAGTCCGCGCACTTAACCACTACACCAAACTGGCTCTCAAGAGGTCTCCTATACAGACAGACCCACAACTGAGGACATGTGGAGGGGTGCCAACCCCCCTCCCCGTCATTTAAGCACACCTGAGCACATGCAGAGTGCATCCCCCAATTCATTCCCAACGAACATGCGTCGACCGTCTCCTCTTCCTCCTCCGCCTCCCCTATGGACACACAGCCGGTGGGTCCAGGCCACAGGGTTGCCAACTCCAGCTTGGGGAATGCCTGGAGATTTCGGGAGGGGGGTGGAGCCCAGGGAGGATTTTAGGGAGGATATAAGGCCACGGAGCCCTCCCTCCTCCAACACAGCCACGCTCTCCCGGGGGAACTGCTGCCTGCCCACTGGAGATCAGCTGTGATTCCGGGAGATCTCCAGGCCACACCTGGAGACCGGCAACCCAAGCAGGGCCGTCCACCTACCTGCCCCAGGTGAGGCCCGGCGCTGCTCACCTGCGTCGGCTGGACTAAGCTGGAAAGAGCTCAGCGGCCCCTGGTCGCCTTCCTCATTATCCCCTCTTCTCGGGCAAAGGCGCTCGCGCGTGGCATTCTGGGAAGCGCAGTTCTCTCTCCCAGGTTTCTCTCCGGAGAAAACGGCCAAAAGGAGGCAGTGAGACTACAACCCCCAGGATGCATAGCGCATAGATTTCCCCCCCCAGGGCGTTTCGCGGCCGGCGTGAGCATAGACTGGAAGGCCAGAGTGACACACAGCTCAAGCTTCCGGTCAAAGCCATTTCCCCATAGACTGTAGAAACAACAGTTTCCGTAGTCTGGAGGCGGGACTTCCTGGTTATGTTTTTTTGAATGGCAGGTTTCTCCTGTCTTGTGGGGTAAACGAGCCAATTGCTCATTGGACATAAAGACAATTACATTTTAGGTTTAGCTGTGATCGAACAGCCCCCTTTCCCCCGCTAATGGAAAAAGTAGAAAACAAGAGGGGAGATTACGTTTTTCTTATTTTATGTGCAAAACTGGACTTTAAATTAAAGCAATAAAAATTGTCTGGATCAATATAAATGCAAATGCAGTCCATATTATCTTCAAGTTGCAGAACAGGACCTTTGGCTAAAATGAAAGCTTACAATAATCCTGCGGAGTAGTCCTGTTACCTTATCGCTGCCCGGGAACAGGACATGGACAGTAGTTTATTTAAAAAGAGTCAAGAGTCCAGTAGCACCTTAAGACTAACAAAATATGTGGCGGGGGGGGGGAGGAGCCTTCGTAACTGCTCACAGCTTCAGGTAGTGGTTTATTAAGTTTGCTGTTAATATTGTCACTCAGAATTCGGTCTGACGCTGGGAAAAAGAGGTTTACAACAGCCCTGCAATGTAGAGAAGAGATTGGATTTTGTTGCCGCGGGAGAGGCACGGATGGTGGGCGGATTATCCGGGCGCGATCAGAGCACTTCTTAATCTCTTTGAATTTAGTGGGGGACAAAAATGTGGTCTTAATTCTACTATTCAAAACGATGAAAAACAGAAGTACTAAGTGTGGCCTAGATCATGCCCCTTTGTTACTTTTTTAAAACATGTATCCGGGCACTCAAAACTTCTCTCGTAGCCTCTCATTATATCTTTTCCTTAAAAACTCCAGCCAGCATAGAACCATAAATGGGTATTTCTTTTCTTTTCTTTTCTTTTCTTTCCCTCCGCTAACAACTCTCAGCTTTTTTCTACCATCAGAGATGAATATTTCCGAAAGTGTCTCTCAGCAGATAAACTCCTTCTTTTTAAGAACATGCCTAGTTCCATGGCCTCTACAAATCAACCCAGGGTGGAACCCTGTCCCCCAACTGCTTCGAGGGTAAAACGTGACAGCATCAAAATCAAATCAAGGGGGTTTTTTTTGAACCCCCGAAGGGGATTTTTTATTGCATTTTCTAAAGACTACAAACTACAAAGAAAAAATGGGAGGGCAAGCAGCTGCCTTATTGTTCCATCAAGTACTGCATCGTCTACTTTGACTGGCAGTGGCTCTCTAGGTTCCCCATAAATAAGCTGCAACCTGACGGCACTTCACACAAACTGAAGGTTGCTCCCCTGGGGCTAAGCCAAAGGGAGGTTTACTACTACAAACAACCCTGCAAGGTAGCCCAGTGCTCTCTTCTTCCTATGGCAGAATGGTGCTCAGCAAGAGTAGCTTGTCAGCAGCCCTGCAATGTAGTCCTCCCTTCGCACAACAGCCAGGCTTGTTAAAAACTAAGCACTGCAGGCAGTTTATGTTGTGATCACTTTGGGGGGAGTGCCTGCAGGGGAAACTTCCTCTGCAAAAAGTCCATCCTACTAACACTTATAAAATGCAACTATAAAATAACATACTAAATGGCTTCCATTTATTGAAAAATCATTCTCGGCTGTTAACTAGGCTTTCTGAAAGACTTTTATCACAGCACAGGTTTGCCAGGTGAACACTGTCGGAGGAGGAGGAGACGTAGGCTCTTTTTGTAGCAGGAGCTCCTTTGCAATAGCTACTTCTCATTCAATACCCCAGCGATATAAAGAGATAATAACAGCTTTTTGACTTGTTTTTATAGATCAATCATATTTGGTCAATATAAACGAATAGGGTCAGTATATATCAATGCTCATAGTAATCTCCAGGGCTATTTTTGGGCAGGAACACACAGGAACGGAGTTCCGGCTGGCTCCCAAGTTGGCCACGCCCAGCAGGAACTCATTAGCATAATAGGCCACACCCAACAGCAGAAACTCATTAGGATTGGCTACATTAGGGGTGTGTTTATATGCTATTGTTTTAACCCGGCACACAGTGCCCTTGTTAGCCGCCCTGAGCCTTCGGGGTAGGGCGGGATATAAATGTAAACATAAATAAATAAAATAAATAAATAAAGGAGGTCCTGCTACAAAAAGAGCCCTGGTAGCAACAAGCACACTCAGATGATGAGGCCATCTCTCTGGAAGCTTCAAGACATTGGAAATGAAAATAGGTGCGGAAGACTGCTAATTGGGAACTCAACAGGGGGAAATTGAGCAGCACGTTCAGAAAGGGAACAGGACCTGCATCTGAGATAGAGTTGCCATACCCCACTGGGAGTTGGGATCCCCTGACCCCCCCCCCCCCAACTCTGTAGTTAGTTATCTGGATGGTTATTTTTATTATGTAGCAAGCGTTATATCTCTTAAGTATAAGTTCGAGTAGGAGCCGCCACTATCATACCATCACTTTTTACCATCATTACCAACTGGCCCTCGGAAAAGAGAGAAAGACTGTGTTACGTGGAACTGACAGCACTGATTGGGTGCACCATCTTTGAGACGCCATCTTTATGGAAGATTATTTTGGAACATCTAGAGCACTTAATATGTTGTAATATTGTAGTAATGATTCTATATGGTTTTAACCTGTTTTTATGTGTTGGCTTATGCCTATCTGTGAGCCGCCCTGAGCTCCTAGTGGTGTCAGAACATTGCCAGTGATGCTAGGGACTCTCTGGCATTTGAGCAAAGCTCTATGGTTTTACCATGGAGTTTTGCTTCAATACTAGAGTGTCCCTGGTGTCGCGCTGATGTCAATTCTGTGTACAAGAAAAGTTATGTCGGGGGGGGGGGGGTGTCTGACGACCCTAAACCGGGATCGGTATCCTTAAGGAACACCTGGCAGCCCACCGCCAAAAGAAGAAATGTTGCCCTCTGACAAAACCTCTCAAGCTGGACCTCCCGTTGATAGACAGATGTGATGTGACCACTCCTCTTAGCAGATATGGAAAGGAGGACTTAACTTTCATACCCTAAAAACTTGCTTTGTTTCATACACACGCGCGCACACACACATATACACACATAAGAGACGCCAATGTTGGATCAGGCCAATGGCCCATCCAGTCCAACACTCTGTGCCCGGGAATAGGACATGGACAGTAGTTTATTTAAAAAGAGTCAAGAGTCCAGTAGCCGCAGTGTCTCACAGTGGCCAAAAATACACACATATATATCTATCCCTTTTTGCAGAGGGAGTTTCTCCTTGGAAATCTACCTACCTACCTACCAACCCCCCCCCCCCCCCTTTCAGTCCAGGCGCCTTTAGCCATTTGGCACAAAAAGAACCACTCCAAATGCCCAGGGTAGGGACCGCCCTAGCCTCCCTCTCTATGGCTCTTCCGGCTTGTCTAGGACGCCGGAAGTCGCTGTGGTTCTGGGGAGGGCCGGAAGCGTCCCGGTGACCGCGGGATGCTGAGAGAGACGGGAGGAAAACAGAGGGGCCTGAAAGAGTCACGGGAGGCGCCCTCCGTCCCACCCCCACAACTACTGGTTCCTATTACTGTTAATTCATCGTCATCATTTCTGTGGAGGTCGAAGCGCCCGAGCCGTCTTCAGCAGGTATCGGCTCCACCGTTCCTACAACAGCCCTGTGAGGGAGGCCGCCAGGTTTCCCGAGGGGGCAGGGGCGGGGGAAACACGGGGTGAGCGAGGGTCGGGACTGGGAAATCCCTGGAGATGTGGAGGTGGAGGGCAGGGTTTAGCAATTGCTCTGAGAAGCAGCCGTTTTTCCCCTGGTGAATTGATCCCTGTTGCCTGGCAATGAGTTGTAACCAGGGTTCTCTCTAAGCTGAGTTGGTGTGAGCTAGCTCACAGTTTTTTAGCCTCCGGCTCACACATTTTTGTCTTCGCTCAGGAAGGGATGGCTCCAGAGCAAACTAATTTATGCAGCAGCCAAATGGCTCGCTCACAACTTAAATGCCAGTAGCTCACAAAGTAGAATTTTTGCTCACAAGACTCCTCAGCTTAGAGGGAACATTGCTTGTAACAGTGGAAGATCTTCAGCTGCTCCCTGGAGGTTGGCAACACGTGGCGACGCCTGTTTCGGCTGTCAGGTGGGTTAGGTGGCGGCCCTGGGCAGGCTCAGGGGACTTCCGTGTGTGACCAATGCAGTGTTTGAATGGGGAGTGGTAGTGAGTGACCCAGCTGCCGGCTCAGCCTCTGAGCCCCTGTTCCAGGCCGCTTCTCAGAACTGCTCTAATGTTTTGTCAGTAAGGTAAAATAATGTCTGAATGGGTGATCTCTAGAGATGTGAAATTTTGAAACTCGGAAAAAAAACCCCGTTTCCCCCCGGCTTTTTTTTTAAAATGGGAAAAAATGCTACATTAGCACTTCTATTTTTCTTTTCCAGATTGAAAGTCATTCTGTTACTTTAGGAACATAAAACACGACTATGGACATTTCTACTTGGCATGGAATTTATCACAACTAGCATATTAAAAATATAGCGTATCCAAGCAATTATTACAAGCGGAATACCCACCCACATGCAAAAACAAAACTGAAACTTTTTAAATTTTCTTCTGACAATCGCACCTCCTAAAGGAAGAAATGCCTCTTGCATTGGAGAGTTCAGTTGGTAACCTAGGACTTGCTTGTCCTCAGTGCACAGAAATTAGATCAATCTGATACCATACGTATTTTTTAGAAATGATTTGGAAAATATTTGAATGCCTTATCTTAAAATATTTTATTCATCATGTTAAAATAAATGTTCCATAATCATTTCTTTTTTCAGTTTTTCGGGAAAAAACAAAAAAGGCTTTGGGGAAAAAACGTGGTTTTTTTCCTGAATTTTCCCGGTTTTTTTCCGGGCCTTCACATCTCTAGTGATCTCTGACCTGTGTTTCGCCTCTGAGATGCTGTCTGCCCATCCCAAAGAGAATGAAGGGACATTTTCCACGGAGCAAGCTTAGGCAGATGTTCCAACGGCCCCCTGTTTTCTTACTATGGGTAGATTTGCCCCAGTTGTTTTGGGGGAAGACTGTTTTTTTTTTTAACCACCTGTGTGACTGTCAAAAGGTCAATACCCACCTCTAGCAGAGATGGGGAAAAGAAATTTTCTGTTGCATTTCTGCTGGCCTTCCAGCGTTTTAAGGGCATGATGACCCTGCCAGGCAAACAGAAAGGTATCTGTGCTATGTACGTATTTGTAGCCAGGGCTGCCTCCTGTGTTGATTGGCTTTGTTCCTCGGCCGTTAACGGCAGCCTCGCTGGAGAAATGAAGAAAGAGTAGCTTTTCCCCATTTGCTTCATTTTCTTATTTATTACGTACTTATTTTGAGTGTTCCTATGTCTCCTTTTCAGAATCCTGCTCGAGACAGCTCAATTTCTGTATATTGGGCTACTCTGAATGGCATGGGAGCCGTACCAGTTTTTTAAAAAAGAAATTGGCAATCCTCAGTGTATCTTTGCAGAGTAGTTAAAAAAAAAAGTTATTGACTTTCCTGTTCCAGTGAAGTCTTACTCTCCCCAGGTGGAGGCTGCTGAAAGTAAGCATTGTTTATTCCAAGTGCTTGCCTGCTTTCAGGTAGAAGAATAACTTTTTCGCTTTGCTGACTGTAGATGCCAACAACTTTTGCCAAGTCTTGGGACAGCCTGCGTTGAGTTGTGGAAGCTGTGGACCTATGCTTTCCCCTTTCTAATGTTTCTTTATCATCAAACTCCTCTTCGCTGGAGTCATTTGCACGGGTTGTTAAAAAGAAGAAGAGATTGCTGTTGAGAAGACGGGTGTGGCTCCTGATGAGAATCGATGTGGTTCGGTAAATTGAAAATGTACTGAGTTCCGACTGGAAATGGATGAGGAGAGTTTGGAAGCAGCCATTCGGAATTACAATGCCCAGCTGGAGCAAGTGGACCTGGCTTTGGGCACCGGGCTGGACCCCTCGCAAGAAGCGGACCTGATCCAGCTGCGGTCGGATTTGAAGCAGCTGATCGAACTCACCGAATCCAGCTTGGTGTCCGTGAAGAAGAGCAAGCTCTTTGCCGCTTTGGACCCGGGGACGGTCTCCCCGTCTCTATCCGCTCATCGAAACCGAGACAGTAGTGAGTCGGGACAGCGAAATGCCGACGACGAATATGCAGCTTTTCAGGAAGCTGTTGCTGATGGAGGGGGCGAGCCCTCGGGGATTCAAGATGAGGCCTACCCAGAGACAGACAGTGAGGCAGAGGGTGAGGGAGAGGAGGAGGAGGAGGTAGCTAGTGGGATGAAAGTGAAAGCCCCTTACTACAGTTCTTGGGGCACCCTGGAGTACCACAATGCCATGATCGTGGGCAGCGAGAGCATGGAAGACGGCACGGCGGGGGTCCGAGTACTCTATCTCTACCCCACTCACAAGTCCCTGAAGCCGTGTCCCTTTTTCCTGGAAGAGAGATGCCGTTTCAAAGAGAACTGCCGGTAATGTCTAAGCTTGGCTGTCGGGTTCTTCGCTTAACTGCATTCTGTGTGTTGACTGAAAACTGCTCTGGGTGCTCCCCAGAGCTGAAGAGTGGGATGGGAGTGGTCGAAATCAGGAGCCCCCAACACGGTGCCCGTGGCCACCATGGCGCCCACCTGGTGCCTGTCAAGTGCAGAGTGGGCGGGGCCACTTCTGATTGGTCCTTGGAGGTCTGATTGGCGGTGCAGATTAAAATGTTGCTTCAGCAGCTGCCCCCACAGTGTCGGATTTATTCTCTGTCTCAGTCCTCTTTGGTGTAGTGGTTAGCAGCTTGGACGCTAGACTGGGAGAACCGGGTTTGATTCCCCGCTCCTCCACATGCAGCTGCTGGTGTGACCTTGGGTCAGTCAAAAGTTCTCTCAGAGCTGTTCTCTCAAGGGCAGTTCTCGAGCGAGCTCTGTCAGCCCCGCCGACCTCACAGGGTGTCTGTTGTGGGGAGGGGAGGGGAAAGGAGATTGTCAACCACTCTGAAACGCCTTCAGGTAGTGAAGGGTGGGGTATAAATCCAATCTCCTCCTCCTCCTCCTCTTGTTTCCCAGTGTATTTTTAAAATTGCTCCTCTTTCACCCTGCACTTGGACTTCCTCCAGTGCGGGTCCATCTCCGGTGGCAGCCATTTTGTGGTTTGCTCCACCACCCTGTGCCAGAATCACAAAGGTGCCCACAAGCTCAGAAAGGTTGGGGACCCCTGATCTAAATCAGTCGATCCATACAAATTAGGTTTGACTTGCTGGGATTCTCTAAACATAAGGGGGCGGGAGAATCTACCTAAGACTTAAGAGCAGCCATGCTTGATCAGGCCGAGGGCCCCATCTACTCTAGCATCCCGCTTCTAACAGTGGCTCATCAGGTGTCCCCCACCAGAGCATGTGGACCAGAGCCCTCATCTACTGACCGCTGCCTGGTATCTGGGCAATCTCGCCAGTCTGGTGTAGTAGTTAAAAGCGCGAGCTCTAATCTGGGAGCACCAGGTTTGATTCCCCACTCCTCCACATGCAGCTGCTGGTGTGACCTTGGGTCAGTCACAAGTTCTCTCAGAACTGTTCTCTCAGGAGTAGCCCTGGAAAGAGCTCTCTGAACAGGGCTGTTGTGGGGAGGGGAAGGGAAAGGAGATTGTAAGCCGCTCCGAGATTCCGCGTGAAAGGCGGGGTATAAATCCAATCTCTTCTTCTCTTCTCTCTGTATCGTTCCAATTCTTCTCTTCTATTGGCTATAATAGTCAGTGAGTTTACCCGGCCTCCAGAAATCTGTCCAGCCATATTTAAGGCTGTCTAAGCCGGTGGCCATTGCCGCATCTTGTGGCTGTGAGTTCCACAAGTCGGTTATCCATTGTGTGGAGGGCTAGTTCCTCTGCAAGATCTCTTTGGGTTGTCCCATCTCCTAGGTCCTTTAGATCTGCCACAGCCCATGTTCAATCTTGCTCAGCCGTGGCGCCCGCTCTCTAGACTGGTGGAAAGGGCCATCAAATTGCTGCTGACTAATGGCAACCAACCCTGTACAGTTTTCAAGAGACACATAGAGGTTGTTTGCCGTTGCCTGCCTCTGCGTAGAGACCCTAGGCTTCCTGGTGCTCTCCCATCCAAGCACTAACAAGAGTTGACCCTGCCCAGCTTCCAAGATCCCATGAGATTGGGCTACCCTGGTGGAAATTTTGAGGCCACAGGAAGGAAAACTCTTGTTTTTCTGGTTTTGGCCAGGAAAAAAACATAATTTCTTTTTTTTGGGGGGGGGGGGGATCGTAATGAACCCAGTACTTACTTTCCTATTGAACCCAAGCTTCTAAAAACTTGATTTAACATAAAAGGCATCATTTATAACTTAGTTAAGGAGCTGCGGTGGCTCAAGGGGTTAAGACGCTGAACTGCAGGCTGTGGAAGGTCAGTAGTTCAGCAGTTCGAGACCCGGGTTGCCGCATGACGGAGTGAGCTCCCGTCTCTAGTTCCAGCTCCTGCCAACCTAGCAGTTCGAAAGCAAGAAATTGCAAGTAGATAAATAGGGACCATTTCGCTGGGAAGGTAACAGCGTTCCGTGCGCCTTGGTGTTTAGTCATGCCGGCCACATGACCACGGAAATGTCTTTGGACAGCGCTGGCTCTTTGGCTTTGAAACGGAGATGAGCACCGCAACCCTAGAGTCGGATTCGACTGGCTTTCGAGCGAGGGAAACCTTTACCTTATAACTTAGTTAACATATATTGTAGTATTCGTCAGGTTGATGGAATTCGAAAACATCACTGTCTTCATTTTCTACAAGAAAAATTGCAAGTATATCCTGTGTCTGAGAAAGAGTTGCAACTGCTCCGCACTGTATTGCCATATCACGTGGATCTTAATTTTCACAGTGTGAGAGGTAGGGGGGGAAATGTAAGCCGAAGGTAGAAACAAATGCTGAAGAAGAGGAGGAGGGGGAGATTGGATTTATACCCCACTCTTCACTCGGAGTCTCAGAGCGGCTCACAACCTTCTTTCCCTTCCCCTCCCCCACAACAGACACCCGGTGAGGTACGTGGGGCTGAGAGAGCTCTGACAGAAACTGCTCTTTCAGGAACAGCTGTGCCAGAGCTTGTAACTGACCCAAGGTCACATCAGCAGGTGCAAGTGGAGGAGTGGGGAATCAAACCCGGTTCTCCCAGATCAGAGTCCACACTCCTAACCACGACACCAAACTGGCTTTGGGTATTTAGGGGTATTTCTACCGCTCTTGAGAGAACAGCTGTGAGAGAACTTGTGACTGACCCAAGGAAGGAAAGGAAGTGCATTATTTGGACAGAAAGACTGTCATACATCCACAATAGGTAGGACTCTTACATAAGAACATAAGAGATGCCAATGTTGGATCAGGCCAAAGGCCCATCCAGTACAACACTCTGTTTCACACAGTGGCCAGAAACACCAGTGCCATCAGGAGGGCCACCAGTGGGGCCAGGACATTAGAAGCCCTCCCACTGTTGACCCCCCCAAGCACCAAGATGACAGAGCATCACTTGCCCCAGAGTCCCTATCTATACCTTGTGGCTAATAGCCACTGATGGACCTCTGCTCCATATCTAATTCCCTTTTGAAGCCGTCCATGCTTGTAGCCGCCACCACTTCCAAGTGTTAATCACTCTTTGGGTGAAGAAGTCTAACCCGACCGCTCAGCAATTTCATGGAGTGCCCACAAGTTCTTGTATTGTGAGAAAGGGAGAAAAGTACCTCTTTCTCTACCTGCTCTTTCCCATGCATAATCTTATAAACCTCAATCATGTCACCCCTCAGTCGTCGTTTCTCCAAGCTAAAGAGCCCTAAGCGCCTTAACCTTTCCTCATAGGGAAATTCCTCTTGCAAGAGGAATTCCCATAATCTCAAAGGGAATTTTTCTGCCTTCCCGGAAAGGTTGAGTCTTGCAGACTGCTTCTATGGCAGAGAAGGCTATGAACAGCCTAGATTTCTGTGTGCAGGGAATGTATAGCCCAGACTCGTAAGCAATGATCCCTCTAAGCTGTGAAGTCTTGTGAGCAAAAATTCTACTTTGTGAGCTGCAGGAATTAAAGTTGTGAGCGAGCGATTTGGCTGCTGCATAAATCAGTCTGCTCTGGAGCCGTCCTTCCCGAGCTAAGACAAAAATGTGTGAGCCGGAGGCTAAAAAACTGTGATCTAGCTCACACTGACTCGGCTTAGAGGGAACACTGCGAGTCGTAAGGGAACCAGTCCTCTAAGAGGTGGGAATATTTTGGGGCCAGTTCAGTTGGTGTAGTGGTAGAAGAAGAAGAAGAAGAAGAGATTGGATTTATACCCCGCCCTTCACTACCCAAAGGAGTCTCAGAGCGGCTGACAAACTCCTTTCCCTTCCCCTCCCCACAACAGACACTCTGTGAGGTAAAAGAAGAAGAGATTGGATTTATACCCCCCCCTTCACTACCCAAAGGTGTCTCAGAGCGGCTGACAAACTCCTTTCCCTTCCCCTCCCCACAACAGACACTCTGTGAGGTAAAAGAAGAAGAAGAGATTGGATTTATACCCCCCCCCTTCACTACCCAAAGGTGTCTCAGAGCGGCTTACAAACTCCTTTCCCTTCCCCTCCCCACAACAGACACCCTGTGAGGTAGCTGGGGCTGAGAAACTCTTGACAGAAACTGCTCTTTTTCAAGAACAGCTGTGCCAGAGTTATGGCTTGCCCAAGGTCATCCAGCCAGGTGCAAGTGGAGGAGTGGGGAATCAAACCCGGTTCTCCCAGATGAGAGTCCACGCACTTAACCACTACACCAAACTGGCTCTCATGAACTGGTACACATGAAGCTGCCTTATACTGAACCAAACCATCAGTCCATCAAGGTCAGCATTGCCTGCTCAGACTGGCCGTGGCTCTCCAGGGTCTCCGGGGCAGAGGTCCTTCACATCCTTTTAGCTGGAGACACCAGGGATCGAACCTGGGGCCTTCTGCATGCTGAGCAGATGACCCCATCCCTGTACATTTATGTCCCCTGACCGGAAATCTAACCTAGCAAGAGAGCGGAATCCTAGCCACTAGACTAGACAATCAGAGAAGCTTAAAGAGGAGAAACCCGGAATTATTTAAAAGGGGGAAAGACTTACTTTGGGGTTTTTTTTGTCTCAGCCAAAGCGCTTGCGAATGACCCTCCCTGTGTTTGTCCCCGACCCCCCCCCCCAGATTTTCCCACGGGCAGGTCGTCCCCGTGGAAGAGCTGCGTCCCTTTGAGGATCCTGACCTCAGCTGCCTGGCCGTGGGGTCGGCCTGCCTGGCGAGGCATCAGGATGGGATCTGGTACGCCGCTCGCATCACCGGTGAGGCTCGCTTCTCTTTGCTGTCTCGGTCTTTGTCGGGCGGATGAAAGGTGGCGTCGGGAGGCCCTGCATGCCTCTGTCCCTCTGAGCAGAGGCCGGGGCCGGTGGAAGCATCCCTGGCTCAGCAGAAGAGAAGAGATTGGATTTATACCCCCGCCCTTCATGTGGAGTCTCAGAGCGGCTTCCAATCTTCTTTCCCTTCCCCTCCCCACGACAGACACCCTGGGAGAGGCAGCAATAGAAAGCCGTGCCGTGGCTAATAATGTGGCGGCTAATTCAGTAATTTTTACTTCCGTTTGATCAATGCTATCTCTTGAATTAAGAAGTAAGATAGCCGGATCAAGTGGGATGTCTTCTTTATTTCTTCCAATACTTGGCCCCTCCCCCCCCCATCCCCACCTGCCTCACAGGGTGTCTGTTGTGGGGAGGGGAAGGGAAAGGAGTTTGTAAGCCGCTCTGAGACTCCTTTGGGTAGTGAAAGGCGGGGTATAAATCCAGTCTCCTCCTCCTCCTGTCCCCCCACCCCGTGCGAGGCAGCGGCATGCCATGGCAGCTTCGTTGCCATCTGACTGATCATTTATTGTTGCATATTTTCATGATTTTAATGCTTTATTATATTGATGTAAGAGTTCTTTGATGTACACAGCCTTGTCCCATGAGGGACGCCGGTCGACAAATCCAGTTGAATAAATAAAGCTAATAGCTGTCAGTTCAGGCCTGTGACATACATCTGACACATCTGACAAATCCCATCCCTTCTTATACAGCAAGTGTGAATTTTGGCTGTTATTAATGGAGTCTCTGTGAGGGCAAGAGACCCCAGACTGCTGTGGCGCCTCTCCAAGTGGTGGTCTGTGTGTTATCAGCGGGTCGGGAAGCTCTAGACATGTCTCACTTCAAGGATATCGAAGGTGCCTGGTAATCTATGTTTGGGTTTAGGAACTAGTACTGTGAACTTGGAAAAATATAAACTGCTTTCTAGGAGAGAGTTCATCAGCAAATTCACTCTTGCAAGACTACAAAGCCTTATGGGAGCCAGTTTGGCGTAGTGGTTAGGAGTGTGGACTCTAATCTGGGAAACTAGGTTTGATTCCCCACTCCTTCGCATGCAGCTGCTGGGGTGACCTTGGGTCAGTCCCAAGTTCTCTCAAAGCTGTTCTCTCAAGGGCAGTTTCTGTCAGAGCTCTCTCAGCCCCACCCACCTCACAAGCAGTGTTCCCTCTAAACTGAGTTCGTGCGAGCTAGCTCACAGTTTTTTAGCCTCCGGCTCACACATTTTTGTCTCAGCTCAGGAAGGATGGCTCCAGAGCAAACTGATTTATGCAGTAGCCAAATCACTCACAACTTTAATGCCGGTAGCTCACAAAGTAGAATTTTTGCTCACAAGACTCCGCAGCTTAGAGGGAGCATTGTGGTGTCTGTTATGGGGAGGGGAAGGGAAAGGAGACTGTAAGCCGCTCTGAGACTCCTTTGGGTAGGGAAGGGCGGGGTCTAAATCCCATCTCTTCTTCTCTTTTAAACCAAAGACTTACTAGTATAGAGGCTAGAGCTAATTCAGAATGGCTGAGGACAGGACCCAGTTTCGCTTCTCAATTCCCTAACACTTGAGCCCACCACAAACTATCAAACTGGCCTACCTAGCAGGGTGGTGGTTGTGAGAGAACGGAGGAGGGGGAGACAGCTGTTCTGAGCCGCTTTTGAGTCCCCGCTGAGGAGAAAAGTGGGATATCAAGAAATGCAAATACATTTTAATTATGTACAAAATAATCCCATTCAAACACTAAGCATATCCTCGAGAGCATGCTGTAAGTCTAGACAGCGTGCACTGGAATTAGCATAATCGAAAGCTGTAGAAGGTCTGGCATAACAATCTTCATAGTGCCTGTAACGATTCCTTGTTTTTGGTGTGTGTGTGTCTCTTTAAAAGTTTGGTTGCAAGGCTGTGGTAAGTAGACTAGAGTGGTTGAGAGAAGCCAGTGTGGTATGATTGGTGGTTGACAGAGAGGGGGAGGGGTTTTGGAAGTGAAAAATGAGTGGATGAGTATGTATGTCAGTCAGGAGTGACAGTTACAGGTTTGACAGTTGAGAATTGCAGTTAGTTCTGTGTGGGGAATGAGTTAGACAAGCAGTTAGTGCTGCCTGGGAAAGAGAGAGAAGCCGTCCTGTGTGGAATAAGTTGGTTCTGTGTGTGAAAGGAGAGCCAAGCAGTTCTGTGTTGAAACAGTTATAAGCTGAAGCTGAGTGTCTAGGAAACAGTAAAGTTTAAGTGTTACAAATTACATGTAAAGATCCCTGTCAGTGAGAGAGAAAATTGTGTGGGATACCAAAGCAATTGTTCAGTATTTACACAGTACTAGTTACATTGTACTACCCTCTTATATATGCTTTATTTCAATAAATCCTATTTCATTCAAGTATACCAGCTCTGAAAGAAATACTTCCCAGGACCACATAGTTCCTCTTAAGCCTTGACCTCGGTCTACCTAACCAGTAAGAGCAGAAGTAAAAGTATAAAGGGTTGGAAAACCTTAAAATTTCTTGGTGGCAGCCGTATATACCCAGATAAACAGAATAAAAAGAACACTGTTAAAGGGAAACCAGTCCTCCAGAATAAGGAGGTCGTCACACTGCCCTTTTTGAGCAAGGACAGCCTTGCCTCAAAAAGCAGCCTGCTCATTCCAAAAGAGAACTTATTTAGAAGAAGAGATTGGATTTATACCCCGCCCTCCACAACCCGAAAGAGTCTCAGAGTGGCTTACGATCTCCTTTCCCTTCCTCTCCCCACAACAGACAACCCTGTGAGGCAGGTGGGGCTGAGAGAGCTCTTTCAAGGACTCCTCCTAAGAGAACTTGTGACTGACCCAAGGTCACGCCAGCAGCTGCATGTGGAGGAGTGGGGAATCAAACAGGTTCTCCCAGATTAGAGTGTGCTGCTCTTAACCCCTACACCAAACTGGTTCTCTTTATTTATTTATTGAACCATTTCTATCCAGCCTTTCTTCTTGGTCGAAGGCAGCTCACAATAATAGTTAAAACATCCCTGGCTGAAACCAGTGATAAAATAATAAACTTTTGAGAGTCAACGCTCACTTTGTCAGGTATGTATCCGAAGAAGGGAGCTTTGACTCTTGGAAGCTTACACCCCGAAAACCTTGCCAGTCTCTGAGGTGCTAATGCACATGAATGTAACTCAAATGGGTTATATCGGACCAGCCTTCCTGTAGATGCACTAGTTCCCAAAGTGAGCAATACCGCCCCCTGGGGGTGTTGAAACGATCCAGGTGGGCGGTCGGAGCCTTGAGTGCAGTTGGGGGGCGTTGAATACAAAAAAGGGGACGGTGAAAGCATAAAGAAAGGAGTCCAGAACCTATCTAAAGCATCCTTTTGGTGGTAGGCCAAATAAGTTCGGGAACCTGTAGAGGAAGGGGATGTTGGGGATCCATCGAAGCCAATGGGCAGTAGGTAGAGACGGAGAAAAGGAAATACTACTTTACACTAAGAGTGGTTAAAATGTGGAATTTGCTGCCAGAGGATGTAATCATGGCCTCAAGGATAAACAGTTTTAAAGGGGGATTAGATAGATTCACAGAGGATATGTTTATCAGTGGCTGCTAGCTGTGGTAACTAAAGGGAGTCTCCATGTTTAGGAGCAGTCAGCCTCTGAATCCGGGAGTCAAGAGGCAACATCAGACAAAGGCCTCGGCCTCTATGCCCTGTCATTGGCCCTCCAGAGGAGCTGGTTGGCCACTGTGTGAGACAGGATGCTGGACTAGATGGACCCCTCGTCTGATTCAGCAGGGCTCTTCTTATGCTCTTATGAAGGCCTCAGCCTCCATGCCCTATTGTTGGCCCTCCAGAGGAACTGGCTGGCTACTGTGTGAGACAGGATGCTGGACTAGATGGACCTTCACCGGTCTGATCCAGCAGGGCTCTTCTGATGTTCTTATGAAGGCCTCAGCCTCTGAGCCCTGTTGTTGGCCCTCCAGAGGAACTGGCTGGCTACTGTGTGAGACAGGATGCTGGACTAGATGGACCACTGCTCTGATCCAGCAGGGTTCTTCTTACGTTCTTATCGGAAACATGATTTTAAAGTTTGGAACTTTACGTGAGAAATTTTAATAATCGCGCAGTAGGTGTTTGTCGGCTGGTGCTTTAAATTGTAGGCAACCCATTTCTGCTTTTCCTTCCCCAGACATCGATAGTGGGTTCTACACCGTGAAATTCGATTCGCTGCTGCTGAAGGAAGCGGTCGTGGAGGGGGACGGGGTCATACCCCCACTGCGTAGCGAGGAGAGCTCTTCCTCCTCGGAGTCAGACGACGACGAAGTGGACGACGCGGGATACGCTAAAGGTAAGAGCCGGTCGGGAGGAGAAACCCACACTGGGTTTCTGGTGGTCACTCTCCCTTAGCACAAGTGGATTCTCTCTGGGAAAACGAGACATCTCCGTCTTTCTGGCAGTTCAGAAATGTTGATGCACTAGGTGCGATTTTCACCTGCTCAGGTAGGTAAACAGAACTTGAAACATTCCGCAAAGAGAAATTTAAAAGAGAATGTGAGGACAAGGAATCTTACTGAGGAGGCTGTGATGGGTTAACAAGGCCAGGGTCTTCCTTATTACTAAGAAAGCCTGTGTGCTCTAGGGTTGAAGTGCTGGTCTACGATTGGGGTGGGTGGGGGTGGCTTGGGTTCAAATCCCCACTCCGCCACAAAGGCAACTGAATGGTCTTGGTCCAGTTGTCACCCATACTGTTCTGTTGGATAAACATACTTCACAGCTTTAATGATTGACTCAGTTTGTTTTATGCTTAAATGATGGGAAGATTTACTGTACCTAAGCCAACGAAGATCTCCTGTCTTGGGTTTTTAGGTAGTGTGGGTATCTTTTCTTTATCCTGTATGTGTAGTCCCTCTTCCTGTTTTTCTGTGATAGTTTTTTGTAGTTTGAAAATAATAATAAAAAATCCCCTCCAGGGGCTTAAAAAAAACACAAACATACTTCACAGCGTTGTTGAAAGAATAAAAAGGGTCGTAGAACCAATAATAATGAATCATTATTGTATGGCAGTCTGTGTGGTATAGCCTGGAGATCCTAAGATTGTCTGGCACCCAGAAGTTCTAGCTGTTTTAGCGTTATGTGCCACTAGGTGGTGAGCCAGACTTGTTTTTAAGCCAAAAGACGTTTCAGAGGTGGGTTGCCACTGCCCGCCTCTGCGTCACAACCCTGGTATTCCTTGGAGGTCACCCTTCCAAATACTAACCGAGGCCGACCCTGCTTAGCTTTTGAGATCTGACGAGATCGGGCTGGCCTGGGCTATCCAGGTCAGGACTGGAAGTAGAGCCATGTACTCGTGAATTATACTGAATCAGAACTTTGGTCCATTGAGGTCAGTATTGTCTACTCAGACCGGCGGTGACTCTCCAGGATCTTAGGCTGACGTCTTTCTTGCTGCTTACTGCCATATCCTTTTAACTGCCAAGGATTGAACCTGGGACCTTCTGCATGGCAAGCAGAGCTCCACCACTGAGCCACACCCCCTCCCAATAAATTACATTTGTATGAAAGTGAACATGTATGAATATATGAAGCTGCCTTCTGCTGAATCAGACAATAGGTCCATCAACGTCAGTATTGTCTACTCAAACTGGCAGCAGCTCTCCAGGGTTTCAGGTACTGGAGATGCCTTACTGGAGATGCCGAGGATTGAACCTGGGACCTTACTGGAGATGCCAGGGCTTGAACCTTGGACCTCCTGCATGCCAAGCAGATGCTCTGCCACTGAGCCACAGCCCCTACCGAGATAATAATCTTCTGTTTGATTAAACACATGGGCACACGAAGCTGCCTTATACTGAATCAGACCTTTTGGTCCGTCAGAGTCAGTATTGTCTGCTCAGACTGGCAGCAGCTCTCCAGGGTCTCAGGCAAAGGTGTTTCACAACACCTCCTGGAGACACCGGGGATAGAACCCAGGACCTTCTGCATGCCAAGCAGAGGCTCTACCACTGAGCCACGGCCCCATATCGGTAGCCACTCTCTGCCACGGAATTGTACTTGACACCTGCCCGATCTCTTTTTCAGGCCTTCTACCACTGAGCCAGAGCCCCTCCCACGTATGCCTCCCCAGACTCCTCAGAGGATATAAGTGTGCTAGATAATAAATCCACATGGCCCGGCCCGCTACAAAAACTTCTCCCTGCAGCGCTGGCCGCCTCAATGGAATCTAGAGAGGGGGAAGGAGGTGCCCCGCCTATCTAAGGGTGTGGTCACACGGCAAGCGCACCGCGATTTGTTCCCGCTGTAGATTTGATCGGGGATATTTTTAAGCAGGTTCAGATGATCACACATCCCTTGCCCGACCGCTTGCTTTGCGTGACAATGCTCCAGGCACTGTCCAGACAGCCACACTACACAAGTCATGGTTAGAGAAGTGAAGGCCCGGGAAAAACCTGGAAAAATTCGGGGGGAAAAACGGTTTTTTCCCCGTTTTTTTTCCTGAAGCATTTTTGGTTTTTTCCGAAAAACGGGAAAAGTTGAAAAAAGAAAAGGAAAGGGAAAAAATTGATTATGGAATGTTTTATTTAAACATGATGAATAAAATATTTTAAGACAAGGTGTTCAAATATTTTCCAAATAATTTCTAAAATATATATATATAGGGTATCAGATTGATCTAATTTCTGTGCACTGAGAACAAGCAAGTCCTAGGTTACAAACTGAACTCTCCAATGCAAGAACAAAAGGCATTTCTTCCTTTAGGAAGTGCGATTTTGTCAGAAGAAAATAAAAAAGTTTCAGTTTTGTTTTTGCATGTGGATGGGTATTCTGTTTGTAATAATTTTTTGGATACTCTATATTTTTAATATGCTAGTTGTGATGATTTCATGCCAAGTAAAAATGTCCATAGTCATATTTTATGTTCTGAAAGTAACAGAATGACTTTCAATCTAGAAAAGACAACAGAAATGCTAATGTAGCAATTTTTTCAATTTTTCCAAAAATTTCCGTTTCCCCCCGGAAAAAAATGGGAAAAAACCTGGGGTTTTTTCGAGCTTCAAATTTTCCAGAAATTTTACATCTCTAGTCACGGTGTGGCACAATTTTCTTTAAAAAAAATTTTGCGCATGCACATATGTGCAAGTGTGCACATACGCACATGCGCACAATGGTGAAAGTCACAAAAAAAAAAACCCTACTGGAAGAAGGGCATTCAGGCGACCTAATCACAGTCATTGCGAGAGACGGCTGTCCAGATAGGCAAAATCGCGGATTCAAAGCGCAAGTACCCGGAAAGTACTTGATTTTCCCAGGTCGGAAAACTTTGGTGCGGGAGACGGATGTGGGTGTCTGATCAGCAATTTTAAGTGTGAGAGGGAACAGTGGTGAGACCCAATCAAAATGACCGGGTGACCACAGCCTAGGTGAGGCATGGTTGGAGTAAAGGCTTACGTTCAGCAGCCCAGTCAGTCGGTGAACAGTCCTCCACAGGCCTAGCACTAGCTATTTGTTGCCAGCAAACCCAGATATGAAAGCCAGTGCTAACAAAGCCTTTTGGACTCCAAAGCTGTGGGTAAGATAAGGGGCCGTCCCTCTTATTGTCTGCATCAGTCTTCGCACAGAGCCTGATTTTTTTTTGTCATCCTCTTTGATCTGCTCTTCTCAACCTCTTCCTCTCGCCTCCTTGCAGTCGTGGAGTCCGGTGCCGCCGAGAACGGGGAAGGGCCCTCCGCTTGCAGTTCCTCCTTCGGCTGCTGGGAGGCGCACACTCGAGGCATCGGCTCTAAACTCATGGCTCAGATGGGATATGAGCTGGGGAAAGGTAAGCGTGTGTGTGCGCTCAAAAAGATGGGAATCCCCACCGGGGTTGACTTGAGTCTGTGTGAATGGGGCTTCTTGTGTCTGGGCCCCAACAGAAAGCTGAATTCTCAGTGACGGAAAAATAATCGTGTCTGGCAGGCTTCCCTACAGAGGAAGGTGTAACTCCTTGCGGAATGCCAGCTTGGAAACATCGGAAGAGCCCTGCTGGATCAAACCAGTGAGGGTCCATCTGGTCCAGCATCCTGTCTCACACAGTGGCCACCCAGCTCCTCTGGAGGGCCAACAACAAGGCATAGAGGCCGTGGCCTTCAAAAGAATGAGAAGAGCCCTGCTGGATCAGACCAGTGGTCCATCAAGGCATAGAAACAGGCTTCCATAAGAACATCAGAAGGGCCCTGATGGATCAGACCAGTGGTCCATCTAGTCCAGCATCCTGTCTCAGACAGTGGCCAGCCAGTTCCTCTGGAGGGCCAACAACAGGGCAGAGAGACCAAGGCCTTCATAAGAACATCAGAAGGGCCCTGATGGATCAGACCAGTGGCCCATCTAGTCCAGCATCCAGTCTCACACAGGGGCCAACCAGCTCCTCTGGAGGGCCAACAACAGGGCATAGAGGCCGTGGCCTTCAAAAGAATGAGAAGAGCCCTGCTGGATCAGACCAGTGGTCCATCTAGTCCAGCATCCTGTCTTTGGTCAGCCAACAACAGGGCAGAGAGGCTGAGGCCTTCCCCTGATGTTGCCTCCTGGCACTGAGATTCAGAGGTTGACTGCCTCTGAATGTGGAGGTTCCCCCTCAGCCACCATGGCTAATAGCCATTGACAGACATCTCCATGAATCTGTCTAATCCCCCTTTAAAGCTGTTTATTCACTACATGCTTTGGCAGCAAATTCTACCCTTCTCTTCCTGAATTTTCTATATAATTTAAGAACATAAGAGAAGCCAAGGTTGGATCAGGCCAGTGGCCCATCCAGTCCAACACTCTGTGTCACACAGGGGCCAAAAATACCAGGTGCCATCAGGAGGTCCAGCAGTGGGGCCAGGACACTAGAAGGCCTTCCGCTGTTGCCCCCCCCCCCCACGCACCACAAAACCAGATATA